GCACTGCCTTCGCGCAGCATCCCTGGAGGATAGTGACCCCTCCTCGCCTGCGACGAACTATCTAGAGCTGGGAACTTTAAACCGGTTTCAAATGTCTTAGACTCTTGTTTTGGTGTTTGGTTTTATTTTATATTATTTTCACTGATTATTCTTTGAGATGATTTTGAATTATTGAATTATTATTACATCCCGTTTTATAATCTGCCTAAAACGAGATCAGAGATCGCTTTATTCCTTTTGCCATAAGAAAAATATTTTTAACATTGTTTTTCTTATTGTTATATATTATATAGCACATTTTATTAAGTTTCCTTCTAACTTGGTTCTAAATAAATTTAGTCAAATAAAAAGTAATAAAAATGCCTTCGATTAAATTTCACAATTTATGCATAAAGAATTATAATTAGACGATGAAAGAAGATGGTAATAGCGTGTAAGAATAAAGTTTTAAACGTTACTTATACTTCGCATATGTTGTTGTATCAGCTCTATTGAACTCCCCAATCAGGACAAACATTGTTAGCGTTCGTTGACCACAGCCAAGTATTAGCATACAGGTAAAAATTTGCCACCCGTTCGTATAATGTACACTCATTATGAACTAAACACTTACCTGGTTCAGAAGCATTTTTATTAGAACAACATTAGAGCTGTATTAGGCGACGAAATGAAATCACTTGACAGCTGCCAAATGAGAGAGACGAAGGATGGGTTCGTCTCTTTCTAAAAGCTGCTTGGAAACTTTATTCGCTGAATGATTTATATTAGAATGTTTTGTTGCTAGAAAAAATAAATTTAAACCAAGTTCTAGGCAACTGTAGGCTTTTGACGCTCCAATGGAATAACATAAATAAACATAAATAAATAGTATAACCAGCTTAACCCGTTATACTATATAGACCATTGTATTATTATTCGTACACAGTCGCAAGCTTAGGCGTCTCGTTGTAAATCGAGTCGGCAGTGGTGACTTTTTAGCATGAATAACTTAAGATATGTACGTGTTAAATGTGACTTACGCCCATAAGCAGAAAAGTTAGTTAGATATAATCAGCATTAACTTTGTTTATGTCTGAGGTGGACTTGCATTGAAGTAGAAATAACTCTCTTTATATATTCAGCAGGCCTATGGCCTATAAGCCTCCTTCTGTATATAGGTACATTACTTTAAGAATGAACTTCTCATATGAACGAATTTAACCCTATTTAAGTAACCGTTTCGTCCCTTAGTGCAACTTTCATTAAATAGGTGTCAGTAAAGTTAATTGTACTTGAGATGGGGTAAGGCCGATTTAAGTAAAGACCGTAACATAGTAACTTTTAACTTAAGATGTATGTCGAACTGTCTGGAAGGGGAGTGTTTTTTAACATTGCCGTTACTTTAGGTTAGCATTATTATGTGTTGTAAGGACGTTTTATAAACATACATTTCAAATAAACACCCAGATCCGAAACAACTATCTGTGGGTCACACAAATAGTCGTCACGTGTGGGAATCGAACCCACGACCCCCGACGCCACAGCAAATACCTTGGCAGCTGCGCCACGGAGGAGCACCAGCGAGGAACGTCATGAATGGTATTTTTCTGTGAATAGTTGAGAAGCGAACACATACCATTTAGTGATTACTAAAGCCCATGGACAACTAATCAACTAACCCGTGGGATCACAGATGCGTTGCGACCACGAATGATGTAAAGTATTTGAAACGTCATGTGTAAAATCCGTAAATGAGTTTAAGTGATATGTATCATATCCCTGTAAATAAAAAAGCCATATGTCAAGTTAATTGGACGTGTACATTTTAACATCTTCTAATCACTACATAGTATAAAAAAATTCGTTCCGCTCTATCTGTCCCTATGTATGCTTAGATCTTTAAATGTACGCAACGGATCTTGATGCGGTTTTTTTTTACTAGATAGAGGATTCCTGGGGGAAAGTTTATGTATATAATACACTGCACCCGTGCGAAGCCGGGGCGGCTCGCTAGTTTACATATAATATAAGAACAACCCATCGATGACTCATTTCGCATAAATTCATATTTTCGAATATTTGCGTTTTCAAATTGAATTTGTAAGTAATCTCATGTGATTTGTACCTTACTAATACTAATTAAATCGAGTCCGTATTCCAAATTATCGTTTTAATGTCTTCATTACTTTATTAAGGTTTTTAGAAAATAATTTTACGCGATCTGACCTTATAAAACATAAAACAAGCACTCAATAATGTTCGGCTCATTCAATTTATTGGCTAATAAAAATACCCTCGATACAAAGATAGGTAAAATCGAACATAAAACGGCTTTGCTAAGGACAAGTTAGGGCTTTATAGCTTTTTTTGCTCATTAAGTGACCCTTGTTAAGTTGGATTTACCAAAAAGCGAAACTTTTACGGCAGAGTAATTTTTTGGTATCGCTCGGACAACTTACCGGCTATATCGGCTAATTTCGTCGTAACTTTTACAACAATATTAGAGAGAGCAACGGCCTAGTGGTTGATATGTGCATTCCTTTAGCACGTTGCTGGTTCTAATCATAACACATGATGGTCAAGGAGTTTTTAACTTTTCTGTTAAATTTTCTTATATAGGAAATGACCCCTTATAACCTATAAAGTTGATGTTATCGTTGTGCCACTATCGTTTGTATGATTATATATATTTATATGTGTAGATGTATTTAAAAGATTAAATCGTCCTTCGCCATAAGTTCAAAAAATGATGTAAACGTATATAAGAATGACTTTTTCCTAGAATGCATGAGCGACCATAAATAAGATATATAGAGTTTTAAGCGATATATAATTATATTTTATTACTGGAAACGGTCCTATCCGAAAGTTTCCTTTCCGAAATTCCGTGAACACTATCCGATCAACTATCCGATCAACTAGAAAACAATGGAGGTCGCAAGGCTGAAGCGGTCGGGAGGGTAACAATTAGCAAAGCCAATTCAATGATTAATAGCTTCGTATTATGTTCAAAGCCAGTCTATATGCCCTTTTGAATAATTATTATAAGAATAATTATTATACCAATTGTAAAGTGTTTAAAAAAGATCAAGTGATGAGTTTCTCGCCGGTCTCTTCTCAACAGAAACTGGAACTGGTCGTGGGAGACGTTGATTACTACTGGGATAGCCCGAGTTGCTTCACTCAGAAATCGTTGGCATCGATTATTTAGTGAAAGAAAAATTTTCATCATCTTTCTCATTTCGTGTGGCGCGGATGAACCTAATACCTGATCACTTCTTACCGTCAAATTAGATTATAGTCAGAAGCCAGCAAGTTTTATTTTTATTTATTTATACTTTATTGCAATCTTTAAATAAAAAGGATTACAAAGGGCGAACTTAATGCCTTTTGGCATTCTCTCCCAGTCAACCCGGGGCGTGGTGAGAAATCGTGGTAGGTGCAATTATTACATTTATAAATGTTTATAACAATTATTATATATAAAATATTTATATGTATTACTATATAATTACTTATATAACTCTCCGCAAACAATTATTTTGATCTTAATTTGAAACATGGTCGCTCATGCATTCTAGGAAAAAGTCATTCTTAGAATATAGCACGTTTACATCATAATATATGCTTTTACGGATTTTTTGAGAACTTATGGCGAAGGACGATTTAATCTTTTAAATACAGTCGCGATTGAATGTACAGGATAACCTACTAAATTGTTTAAAAAAAAGTTCAAATGATATGTAATTCTGAACGCCCAACCGTTTGTTTTGTCGCCGGGGGAATCCCTTTTCTTCATTACATCATGTTGTCTACTTTACCCAGAAGAAGAAAAGAGAATAGAAAGAGAGAAAGAAACTATGTTGTATTCCACTGGACTTCAACTGCGTGAAAATTTTGTTTCTTATCATTAAAAAGTTTTTTGTATTATTTAATTTGATGCCGCTCCAATATTTTGTTATTATGGAGCCGGAATGTCCTTTAATTATGATGAAAAAAAAAAAAAAGATCCCTTGTAGCTTTATTAATATACGAAATTACGCTGATGGTTTTATTTGCGAGGCAAAATTTATCGTGTGTTTACGTTCAGCGAAGTTCATTAGAAAGAAAAAAAAAAAACTAAAAAAAAAAAAAAAAACTCTCTCAATACATTTCTTAGCTTCTAATTTATTATTATTTTATCGGTAATTGAAAAATGACAACGCTACGTTCACAGGACTTATTTCATTCAAGTCAATATGTGTATGCATTCAAGCTTAATTGTTAATACTTAAGTAATATTAATAATTGTTAATACTTAAGTATTAACTATTAATACATTTATAGTTACGATAAACAATATCCTTTTACATGAGGAGATGGAAAGCATGGCGTCCGTTCACCTGATGTAAACTCACCTGTTGTAAATGTATTTAAACACATCCGTTTCGAGAAAACCTTTATACGAGTGGACCCAGCTTACACTACATACCAACGTTCACGTCAGTATTTCAAAATTAGTGTGGAAAAATCCTGTGTTTTGTTCAACGAGAAAATATTAAAATAGTCAATAAACAAAGATTATTTATGCGGGAAGATGGGACATGGCCCGATGTTAAATTGTTGATGTAAATAATCCATCGTCAACATCATCATTTCATTTTGTAAGAGTCCACTTAAGAACATAGGCTTCCTCTAGGTATTTCCACTTCAATCCATCAGAAGTGGCCTACATCCAGCGACGTTCCGCGATCTAAGTCAGGTCATCAGTCCATTTCGCGGTTGGCCGCCCCACCAAAGTACATCATGGAAATATGCAATAGTACTCCAAAACCTACCTACCTTGATTGCCTCTTTCCCCCAATGAAACGCAAAAGTGTATTCTGTGAAGTCTTGCTAAACCACTGGTTGAGGCTGTCCATTATAGCAACAGCTTCTACGGAGCCACTGTACGATAAATATAAGGGCGAGATCAGGAATGAAAATAAAAGTATTTATGTAAACAAAGAAAAAAGGTTTTATTCTCAAAACGTCCAGTCTCAATCGTACTCAAAATCCACGTTATGTCTGAAAGAATGACCGAATCTGCTCACGTGAGAAGATTCACTTTCAACTTTGTGATGGACGGATTCGTGGTGGTCCGTAGAGAGAGAGGTGTCCTCATTGCTATATTTCTTCTTAAACAGTTTGTACAATCCATTGATGATGCCGCGTTTCAAACCCAGGACGTAGTCCTTAAAACCAGATGGACGGTCAGCGTTGGGTGGCGACGGTTTATCATCGTACTCCGCTTTCACGTGGAGTATGCTGAAAGAGTTCTTCTTCGGTTTCGCGGATCCACTGTCAGCTTCATCGACGAAACCGTGGTTACTGACTTGACTGTTCCCGTTAAAGTTAACTGGACCAGTGATATTATTAGCAGCATTGTTGGAAACACCCGCATTGTTGAGAGGTCGCGCTGTGGTATAATTTACAACCACCGGTCCTATTCTCGTGCTGGTGTCTGGTATATCAACGACGTTTTCTGTGACCTCATATGTCGCCGGTCTCGACGTGGTCGCGTTTAGGTTTATCTGTTTGCTTCTTTTTACGGAGTTCCCATCGTCCGGCTCGTCGTCGTAATGATAGTCGTAGTTTTCGTCGTAGATGTCAGTGTCCTCCTTGATTTCATCTCTATGCGCCAGCGCAGAAGAAATTGCTAACTGTAACAAGGTACGTTAATAATTAAAACTTACTTAAGCCACAATAAATTATTAATTCGATTACTTAAAAAGTAATATCGAGATTATTTTATATCCATAATTAATAAAATCACATATTTTTTTGTGTGAAAAGTTGCCAAGCGAGCAGGTGGATCACCTGATGTTAAGTGAATACCGCCGCCCATGGCCATCTGCTACACCCGAGGGTTGCAGATGCGTTGGCAACCTTTTGAAAATTGGGCTCGGGCTACCTCACTCGCCAGACGAAACGCGAAAATATTATACTTCCACTTTACGTCGGTCTTCTGTGAGGTCATGGTACTTACCCGAACGAGCCTGCCCATAGCACGGAGACGGACTCTATGTGCGTATAAATTTAGCTTGAAAAAATTTTTCCTCCTTATGTCGCAGTTAGTATGAAGAAAAGATCTGCTTTAATAATTAAATTATGTTAATATAAACTCAGTGATATTTTGCAACAAACAGTGGCACATATTTTGGTGATAAATATGGAAATTTTGTTTTGTATTTAAACTATTTTCAATTATTGGCCTACCGTTTTAATAAATTAGACAAATGAAGAATATTAAACTAACTACTCCCAACCAAACTGTTTTTGTTAACAGTGCATTTGGGAGTGAACAGTTTAATAGTTTCCTTGATATAGTTATAAAGGCAGTAAAGAATAACACCAAAACAGCAACTGTTAAAAAACTGTCAATTAAAATAATAATATTAAGGAAAGATAAAAGTTACTGTTATAAAATAATACCCTTTTAAAGTTTTTAAACAGATCAGCGGATAAAGACACGTCATTATTCTTTCTTACGTTTTAGATCGTTCAGCAAAGTTATTGCCCGAGTTCCAGTACAATAATATTGTTACTGAAATGAGTTTTTATTACATAAAAGATGTCGCCTTCTATATTAAGGTGAGCACTGAGACGTGTAATTCAAAAGGCTGTGTGTATATTCTTGGAATAGATAATAAAATTTTAGCATTATTGTTTAAACGCAAAGTTGTAAATTGACGCGTTTTCCGTTTTCATATGTGAAACATTAATGAAGATAGATAATAATTTAATTTGTTTTACACAACTAATTTTCTATCTGCCGAATTTGTATTCATTAAAATTAATAATATTAATAACATTTATTGGCCTAAGACATAGAAGCGTGCAATAATAAAATAAGTGCTAATTACAATTAAGTTCTGACGTAAAAACTATTTTTACATTGTTTAGCCATTGGTACAATTTTTTTTACACATTTTGCATTATACACATTTTTAATTTTATTAAATATTTTGATACACATCCAAACTTTTACTGATTTTTTTTAAACTTGGGACGGTATCAAGAAAGTGTCTATTTGGGTCTCTTTTAATTCCGGGATAAACTTTGCCAGCTGTCCCAAATTTTTTCACTTATTTGTGTACAAACATGCAAATTTCGTAAATTTGTAGTGACGGAAGCGATAGTATACAACTTTTTCATTTCGGCGGTGGTTTGGTGACTATTTATCAGATATTATATAACTTTTACTTGATCGCTAAAATAAAATTGTTACTTAAATATTCTTGTGTATATTACGATATGCTGAATTGCTTTTGTAAAACGACCTGACTACCGGCGTAGTGGATAATGGACGGGTCTGTTGTGCCAAAGGGTGTGTGTTCGATCCCCACAACTGGAAGAATATTGTGATGAACATAGTGTTTATCTAGTGCCCAGTTACATAGTAAATATAGTATCTGGACTGGATGACGTTTTGTAAAAATATATCCAGAAATATTTATTATTACTAGCGGACGCCGAGTGGTTGAAATTCGACCATAATTAATTTAAATTATAAGTTTGAACAATATTAATCCTTCTCAATTAGGTATACAATAAACAAATGAGTATATATGCGGGTGCGTGTGTCAAATACGTCGTAGTGTGTGTAATGTTTTCTATATTGATTTAATGTATTTTTTGTGCGTAATTAAAAAAAAAATATATTAGTATTCTGCATTCCTTCTCTATATAAACTATAAGTGTGGGAAATTTCATACTCCTCCGTCCGCGCAATTTTCGTAAAAAGGGGTAGTTTCACAAAGTTTTTGCTTCGCGTATCTTCTTTTATATGTACATAATTCTACTGTACGTGTGTTGCCACTGAACTCCCCCTAAACAGCTGGACCGATTTGAATTAATTTTTTGTATGCGTTTGTGTGGCGACCTGGATGGTTTAGATTCACAATTCCTTTTTTTTTATTTATAAGACATTATCGGATTTTAGTCGTTTGTACAGGACAACGTCTGCTCGATCCGCTAGTTAATATATAGTATTAGTTCGTCACCTCTTTATTGATTAAGAATTTATTATTGTTATGTGTGAAGCGGATGGAAAGACACAATGCGCCTACTCATTTGACAACCTTAGAAGTCCGAAGACCTTACGACCGTGACCAATAGAGAAAGGCCGTGACTCAACGCCACAAGGAGTTCCCGTAAGAAACTATTATTCATTATATCGTTATGAATAATTGCTACTTAGTGAATTCATTATGAAAATACCAAGTATTAATCGTGTTGCAATGAATTATTTATGTCTTCCCTTAGCGATGGTGCCTTAGGTACCTTTACTACATCAGCCCTGTAGTCCCGGGCTCATGGAACAGGACTAAGGTATCTCCTGCCTGTCGTAAAAGGCGACTAAAAGATTACACGGATTGGCAGCGCCACAAAGTGGCCTCGAGCTGCTGCAAGATGGCGAGGGAATCGGGGCAGGTTTATCCTTCTCCGAGGCGTGCTCACGCCCAGTACCGGAGGACACCGGTGCGTTCCGTGGGAGATCCCGGAGTCAGAACGTACAGGAACGTAAGAGAACGTAAGGTGGCCACCGACGTTAATCCTCCTTGGAACCAGATCCAGAACAATTATCTTTGGGTGACACAAATATTTTTCCCGGGTTCGATTCCTGAACCCATGACCCCCAAGCCAGTGGGTAAGCAACCGCGCCATCGAGCCTCAAAGATCGTGCAGTACTTAATGATAGCTAATTCTGACCGTGTCCAATATCGACCTCAAGGGTTCGGAAGGCGCGAGAGTATAAAGGACGCGTTTTTGCAGCTATATTTGGCTACGGAACGCTAGATAGCGGAAGGCCGAAACGCCAAGTGTAAGCATCTGTTGAAATCACTGGTTATAGTGTCACCCCTTAAGAGTGGTTTAGGTTTTTATGCATAATATGTTTACCAATTCCTTGGCCAATCTGTACCCGTTAGATTTATTTGATCGTGAGGACTTTTTTTTATCTCCCAGTGTGATATCGATTTTTTTTTGATCCTTTAATTGCTATTATTATATCGATATTGCTTATATGAAAGCTTGTATCCAAATTGAAAAATTTGATTTTATTTTCATTTTGTAAAATTTTCGGTGATATGTACGAGTAAGTAACTATTTCTGTCTCGGTGAACAAATTTTTCTCTGACTACTTAACACTGATCAGTTGTTACGTATTTTATTAGTACCCGGAGGACCGAGCTTTGCTCGGTTTGTTTTTTTTGGTAAATCGTGTTATTTGGAAATTACATTTAGATACAAATTACTGACTAATGAAATATGCATAATATTTTTCGATCTTACCGACGTAATAATAAGAAAATATGAATTGATGTTTTTCACAAAAGAAAGAACTTTAAAAAAAAAGGGAAAAAATAACAAAATAACAAATCGACAAAAAATTAAAAATAAAGAAAGCAATGATCTGGAATCGAAAAAAGGTAAAAAAATAAATGTGTAAATGTTCGTGACGCGAACCACGGCCGTCTGTTTTGGGGCCGTCCGATTACCGACCGAGCTATTTTGACATTTTCTCTTGCGGCGAAATTTACCGTCATATTCAAATTATATTTTTTATTCCCTGAAATCAGGAATAAAAGGACATTTTCTAAAAATGAAACCACATTTTTCGCCCCCGAATCTATGCACATACTAAATTTCATGAAAATCGCTGGAGCCGTTTCCGAGATTCCGATTATATCTATATATATATATATACAAGAATTGCTCGTTTAAAGGATAAGATAAGTAGGTAATTGTTTGTAAAATAAAACAATTGCTTATAATACGTGTCGAAATAAACTTTCAAAATTTAGAAGAAACTAAAAATTATTCTATGTTTATTACAAGTTACAAATAAAGCGTATTTGAATCAAATAAACTTAAAGTAAAAAGATATTATGTTATACTTATACCGTTTAAGAATAATTAAAAGTTCTGATATTTATTTAATTATATAAAATGCTACAAAGCAGAAGCCAGTACGGTAACTCCGAAAATTAAAAAAATAGAGTTAGAGGCAAAATGTCTACTCTCCTTAATAGAGAATTGCGAACTCATATTGGAGGATAAATTAAAGATTATTCATAGATCCAATCTGTATTAACTAAGTTTGCACGCAATAAAAATAATGTAAACCTTAATAAGATTTTAGACTACGCACAATTTTTTTCAAGACAGTGCGAAACGGGACAGCCTTATCCGACATGTAAGTGGTTGGCGTGCGTATATTGGTGACGTATTATCACAAAGTGTACTCACGGCGACAATCAGCAGTTTTGGATCCATGCCGAGCGACTAATCCGGAATAGCACCAAATCCCACCGTCTTTTATCCGTTACAATTAGAAACTGACTACGGCCGATCGTGGCAAAAAGTGCGGGCGCGGCAAAAAGTTCTTATCGCGCACTATATAGATAGTTTCACGCTGTACCCTGTGCAGGAAACTGAGGGCGCTCGCTGGCTCTGAGGTTTTATAGCATCCTTGATGAGTCAGTCTACGGAGAATCGAGCGGCGACCGCGCCCGTTGTTAATAGTTGTATGTTATATTTTAGAGAGAAAACAACATTGGTCCACACACTGGTTGCCTTTAAGTGGTAGGGCCACGCACGAATAACTGTTGCACGAATGGGCAGGTCCGTCCGGGTAAGTACCACGAGCTCGCAGAAGATCGGCGAAAGTGGATTACACTTCTGCGTTTCGTCTGGTGAGTGCGGTAGCGGAGCCCATTTTATTTACAGTTAGTGACGTATTTGCAACCCTACAGGTGTTGCAAATGTTTATGGGTGGCTGTTGTCACTTAACGTCAGGTGAACCGCCAGCTCGTTTGCCACTTTCTCGCATAAAAAAAACTCTGTATGCACGGTGACGTTGGTGCCAGTACCGTAGGAAAGGATTATCTCAAATCTACGTGGATGCTTTTTTTTGTAGCAATTTACTGTTATATAAATAAAATCGAACCCGCGACAATTGAGCAGATAGCCAAATATCCACATCAACCGTGCTATGGGCTATTTATCACATAAACGGAAATATTTTCTGTATATATGTGGTATGGCCACATCAGCTTTCGTTGCACGAATGGGCAAGCTCGATCGAAGTGTCACAGCCTCACAAACGACTAGGAAAGGAGTATTACACTTTCTCGTTTCGTCTGGTGTTTGAGATAAATAGGGCCGATTTAATGGTCGGAAACATCTTTAACCCGTCAGCGTTGTAGAGGTCCATGGGTGGTAATCACTTAACGTCAGGTGAACTGCCTTCTCAATGGCCAACTTTTCACGTTAAAATCAAATGTCGCGAATGAGGTTCTCGATGGCGGATTCGCCGTTGAGTAATTACGTAATGCATGGATAAGGTAGAGTTGCCAGTCGCGTAAATAGGTTGGTATGATTTGATCAGTAGTAATAAAATTTTTGCTCTTTTTGGTTAGTGACGATGACGACCCGAAGGGCTTGGTGGCTAGTGACCCAGCCTCTTGCGTCAGAGGGTGTGGGTTCGATCCCAATACTGGAGAAATGTTGTGTGATGTGTTTTCCAGTGTTACATAGTGTTTTTCCATATTTTAATTTTCCATTGTTTATATATTTATAACATGTATTTTTTTACTAAAGAAAGGTATGTTTAAGTCTGTTCATCAGCTATCTAGTACTAATAGTATAAGCTTAGTTTGGGACTAGAAAACGTTGTGTAAAAATGTGTCCTTGTATCTTGTATCTTGTATCTTGTATTAACTGATGTTTTTGCTTTCAGTCCCGAGACTATTAAAGCTTCATCTGACGCAGAACCGGTGGGTTAGCCAGAACCCAAGGGTTTGAGCCCTCCGCTGTGGGTAGGGCCATGTGCTCATGCGTGCGTTTAAGTATGGTGTGTCATCTAAGGGCCATCGAGGTCGCGGTTCGGCCCGAAACCCCGATGACCGTCGACTGTGCAATTAGCTAATTCGGTGGCTGGGAGCGTTGAGAACCGCCCCGGAACGCGGGTGTACCTTGTGTACGTCGCGTTGTGTTGGTCTCGCCGTGCTCGGAGGCGAGGGCGAACTAGTGTGTTTGTTGTTGCACTAACTGTGGGTGTATAGGGTGTAACTATCCGGCGGAAAGTTTGTCCTAAAGTGATGATAATATAGGGAATAGTTGGTAAGCCAAAGTAATAAAAAAGCAATCATTTTTTATGATCCAGGCCCGAAGATACTTGCGAAAACATCTATGTACAGCAGATAGATGTTTTGGAAAATATCTTCAGGCATATATTCTTTCAAAGTGGCCAAAGTTAAACCATATGCATCCGTAGAAGTATGAGATATTATTTAGCATGTAGGCAAAATTAAAAATTTGGTGTTTTAGTTGTAAGAACAAATGTATACTGATGATGTTTTTTTTATTTATTTTACTCTTCCTTTGATGGATGGATGGTCATTAAGTGAATATCAAGATTCACATCAGGAACAATTTTAACTATAAAATTAGAGTAAACTCTTAATTTTATTGGACATTGCATAAAATTGTCTAAAAATGTTATCTACACATTTAAAAGTTCATCTCTACTGTAAAGACACGCACTTAAGTTAAAAATTTATTATTTTAATGTTGTTTAAAAGTCAATTGATCTATGTTAATGAATCTTTAAGACGGAACTCCGCTCCGTAAATGAACGAAATAAATGAGATAGTTAAGTGTTGATTGCAGTCTGTGAGTACAGTTCTTATACATACAGTTACTCGTACAACGAAACGAATAAAGCTACTTTACAATGTGTATTTTGGACTACTCCATATATATATGGCCACAGAATCGTTGAAATAGTTAGTTTTTATAACAAGCTGCATTAATCAACATGTTTTATTTATTACTAGCTGTTCCCGCAACTTCGTCCGCGTGGAGTTTACAATAAAACAAATTCTAAAACAAAAGTAGCCTAAGTTACTGCTTATTTCATCAGCTATCTGCCAGTGAAAGTACCGTCAAAATCGGTCCAGCCGTTTCAGAGATTAGCCGGAACAAACAGACAGACAGACAGACAAAAACTGTAAAAAATATTATTTTGGTATATGTACCGTGTACACATCCATATGCATTTAGTAAAAAGATATTATTTTAATACTCCAATTTTATTTATCTGTATAGATACATGTCGGATAAACTCAAAAGAAATATTTACCTCCATGATCACTAGATCAGTTAAGTAGTTCGTGTTTTAACCTGATAAGCGGTTCTGCATGCAGTTTTTTCCAACGAATAAAACGCAACATTTGTATAATAACAAGAAATAATTATAACATAATGAAGTTTAATTAAAGCTGTATTCATCCAGTAATTATAATAAGTTTAATTATTAATTTTGCGGTTAGCGTTAAATGTGATCCAAGAGCTTATGTTATTCCCATTAAAATAATTCAGTTGATCCTTAGAGCATACTATCGTTTTTATGGAGTTAGCGAAACGAATAAGTTCTCTTTATGGTGAATGATCATAGCGGGAAGATAACCACAAAGAAGTTGATATCGGCGTAAATGTTATTAACTTACGTATTGGTCCAAAAACACATTTTCGAAACATTTTTTATTAATTATTTATAAAAAATAAATTGAATCAATAAACAAAATACACTTCCATGTACGAGTATCATATTTTATTAAATTTATTATTGTTGAATTCGGACCACTGGGTGAACAATATTTTTTTTTATTTGTGTCTATTTTGCAGATACGTGGTCGGATTTTATATTTATGAGTAATCTTCTTTAGTGGTTACTACCTTTTCGACCGCGGGTTCGCTCGCGTTGAAGCCCTTAAATAAATATCTTTCTTTAACCTTTCAACCCTTTACAACAGGTTTCTAGACTATCTGTGTACCAAATTTCATTTAAATCGGTTCAGTTGTTTTAGTGTGAAAGCGAGACAGACAGACAGAGTTACTTTCGCATTTATAATATTAAGTATAGAACTATGGATACTTTCTTAGTCTTATTTCTTGGTTATGTGATCATAATTTTCAACCTTTCTGTCATTTTATGCACATTTTTGTTTGGTTATTTTCTTGAAACCCCCCGATACTAAAGCTAGGTAAAAGTGTATCTATTCCACTTCATGTCGATCTTCTGTAATTTCATGTACTAAGGTGTGGCCTACGATGATAATGACATACCTAGCTTTATTTACTACCGACTTCTTTGGCCCTTCACTCAGGCGTTAAAATATAACAATTTATATTGAATTCAACTGAATTTGTGTAATAATGGTTGTTACGGCTCTATGAATGAATGTTTATCTGTTTTGTCGCTTGGGGATTCGGTCTAAATTACTATGGTAGAAATTACATGTCGTGTATTAACAATATTTAAAATAGACGAGATAAACAAGGCTGCCCGCTTAGAAATTAACAAGAGAGAAATCAACGTAGCTTAGCTGGAACTGCTACGCTTAGTGGAATCTAGGGGATTAGGTACTAAGCCTTTTATGAGCCAGTTAAGCTTAACGAGGAGGCAGAGATAGCATGTTCAGCTTTTAACACTACGCACTATAACTTGTTGGTTTTAAGTCTTTTTAACGCGTATTTCTTAATACGAGTAACTCGTTTTCTTTTATATCTGTCCGGGTGGAATTTTGTAATTGATTTTAAACTAACTTACCTACGAGCTAGATACTTGAAATATTAACCATAGATCAGAAGTAGACGACAATGTATTAAAATGTAAAAAAATAATTATAATGTTAAAATAAAAAAATAATGTCAAGAAACAAAAATTACGCATAATATAGTATAAGATGATATTAGGACAAAAGAGGTATCTTACAAACAAGAAGAATTGTCTGTGGGTCTTACTAATTGTATTGGCCCTTCCGAATCGAGTCCCGGGTGGGAATTGAACCCACGATTAATGGAGCCGAAGTGTATTGCCTAACAACTGCATCGACCTGATCATCTAAATCACTAATTCAATCCAATCGTTTTTATTTGCCATCTAAGTGTACATTACATAAATAGATGATCATTTCTTGTACTCGTGTTTACGCGATTACACATTATAAATGAAACTAATTTTTACGGATTTATCGCGTTTATTTTTAATTTTAATTTACGAAGTTTTGAACCCTTTACAGCGTTCATGGTCACAGGACAGACTGAGGCGTTGGATGTCTGATTGTCATAGTTAACCCGGGCTACCGTCAGTTTTTGAATTATTAGTTTTGTGTCCGATCTATGCAGAGGGAGCTAATTGTATCTTGTCTTACAGTAGTGGTTCGTTTGGGCCTAGATTTAATTTTATTGATGATAGCATCCCAAGCTGA